ATGGGAGTGTGGGTGAGTCAACCATATCTTTCTCCTCAGTGACCTGACCTTTGACCAAGGGTATACGTACTGACAGTAACCGTGAAAGTTGATGCCGAATCCTGGAGGATATCAAGCCTACATGATCACATTCCCTCGCGAGGATGACCTGTCAGAAATCGTAGATATTATAAGACCCCTGCGCCTAGTAAGTGGAGTATTCCCGTCTCTCGATTAATTGATCGACTTCCGAAGACTGACGAGAATCAATGCCCACAGCAAACAGTCATTCAAAATGTGCCCACCATTCGCTATTTACTTCTGGACGCCGCCGTAGCTGGTAATAAGGCTTCTTACACGGACAAGACCGAACCACTATCCGATGAAGACCTTGATGCGATCGCAACGAAACTAAATCTTGGTCGCTGGAACTTCTATGGTGCTGTCTATGTAAAGAACCTCTTAAGATCATTTCGGGCGCTCTTTATAGAAACAATGGCTAACTTCCATCGCAATAGGGGCCGGAGCCTGTGCGGAAATTCTTCCTTGATACCATCAAGGCCGCTTTCCTAAAGGTTCCCGGCTCAAAGTTCTTCCTTCCGGAGGATCGACATGAACCATACAGCGTCTTGAAGACAAGGGAGAAGACCTTGCGAGGCGTTCCTTCCCTGGACGAGCTTCGTTGGGTGAGGTATGTGGCTGACCAACATCCCGTCATATCTTCCCTCCCGCGGCTTTGACGTCACAGCTCAATGTTGTCCAGTCTACTGATCATTGTTATAATAGCTGGCTACCAAACGGCGCGCATTTATTCTTTTCGCCCATCACAAAGATTTCTGGAACGGATGCCAAGCTCCAATACGAGGTCACGAAGCGGAGGTTCGCAGAGGCTGGGCTTGACTTCATTGGCACCTTCACCATCGGTATGCGGGAAATGCGTGAGTAACCCTCTATTACTTCATAAAACCTTGTGATCTACACTATACTGATAGATTTGGCAGACCACATTGTGTGCATTGTCTTCAACCGCGAAGACCCTCAGCAGCGCTTGAAAGCGCGATGGCTGATCCGGCAACTGATTCAGGACTGTGCGGAACGTGGTTGGGGCGAATACAGAACACATCTAGTGTTGATGGACCAGATCGCAAATACGTACAACTTCAACAACAATGCCCAGATGAAGCTCAATGAAACGATCAAGAATGCGCTGGATTCGAACGGCATTCTTGCTCCTGGCAAGAACGGCATTTGGCCAAAGAAGTACGACAAACGGGAATGGGTGCTTCGAGATGATGAAGCAGACATGTTGTCTAGCGGTAGGAATCGCGTTATGAAGAGTCACTTGTAGTAATGCCACAATCGCAGTCAATTACTACTAGGTATCATTTGAGCCACAGATGACCACACCCGTTGACTTCATCTCGTAGACGTCGTGGAGAGACTGACGGCTCCGGGCCCGCAACCGGCCAGACCCTGGGTATCAGAGGCCTGACCCATGCCCACCGAAGCCGTTGCGGCACCTTTCAAAATGATTGGGGACATGCACCCCCGGGTCGCCGGAGTCCGGGCCGGAGCTGCCACCCTCCGTTCCGATACCCACTTATGCGGGGTAAATATGCCGTCAGGGGATGGAAGCCGATAGGTATTAGTTCCCCACCCCTTACCTCTCCATCCCTCTTTCTCACGATCTAAAGTAAGGCAATCTGAACGTCAGTCGCTAACTCGATGATGGTGACATCAGGTGCAGCGTAATTCAATGTAACTATAAATTCAGCAGAATCGCACGATATATCTTTGAGCACTTGCAGTATTGCAAGAGGCTGGTCTGGCTTAGTGTCGGCGTTTGTGTGGCACCGCTTCGTCTCCAGTGCCTTTGGGCCTCACGAGATAAATTAACTCACCCTACCCAAAGTCATCAGGCGACCATCATCATACTTATTGCTGAATTGTGCATGAATGGTCTCGCGTCTTTATTCCTTCAGCAGATTATCCAGAAGGGATCCACGAACAGTGACATTTGACGGCGGTGCAATCGGTTTTCAGGGGTGCTTTCTGACCCCTGAAGGTTTTTCTCTCTTGAGACTTTGAATAGCTGAACAGTTTGTGCCGGTGGATAGCTTCTTGGAACCAAATTGTGGCGACCCCATGAAAGAGCTTCTTGCAGTCATGTTCTTAAGCTCTTAATAATCAGGGAAATAGTGAAGGTTGTTCATGTTTTAGAACAAAAGTGCTGTTTCCTCCCATTATAATCCTTCATTTAGCGATCCTAAGCGAGGGCAGTTGACACCAACTGAGGTACTTACCTACGATACTTATCCACGATGTTTCTATCTTTGTTCGGAAGTGTCATTGGCAACAGTCACTGGATAGCAGTGGCCACCCGTGTTACTCAGTAAATACAATTGCAGTTCCACAACAACAGACCTTTTGACACGAAGCAGATGTTTACCGCATTACCAATTTTAACTCCCGTACGGCAAACGCCCCTTCTGCGCATTAATGGCTTTCTATGAGATCCCAAGTCCCAAAGTAGCATATGGAGAAATTTGTCTATACAAACGCGATAGTAATGCTCACCATCTACTGAAGTCTCGAAGGCAACAACAACAACATCCCTCAACTCACACCCATTCTATTAAACTTTCACTCAAATCGTCATACCTTTGCCGATATGTCCGTTCCTACCAAGAGTGGAGCTTCAAGTGTCTCAAGAACCGCGGAAACACACGAGGTCGCCGGATTCCATCCGAGGGAGTTCTGTGGTGTCTATAGTTCTAGTTCCGAAGATCCGGCGTACAAAATCATGATCCTCAGACCCGAGCCCCCGATAAGGAGAAACGGACAACCATGTCTTCAACTAGAATACATCCCACTCAATGGCTCTACAGTGACAAGAGATTGCATCTTGGAACGGTTGAGTGTAGAATTTGGTGAGGATGGTAAAATCTGGGCACGAAGTCTGCTCCAAGACGTCAAGATTGACCCGGAACCCCCCATAATCATTTACCCCAAGCAGCTCCAACCAAGACGATTCACGGGGAGCCGACATATCAAGTCGTTTTCATGAAAGAAGATGGCGGCCCGTGGACAATAGAATGAGCCTCGATCGAGAAGGAAGATAGCTTGAAGGAGAAACTTACGAAGGAAGATCAGAGGTGAAGAGGGCCATATGATGGCAGCCTTTTGACGTGGTCAATTTTCATGCTACAAATCCCTCTACGCGTCAGATGGGCCTAGCAGAAGCAGCCGGAACACCGCAGCGGTCAATGAACCACAGCTTCTTCTGACTCACTCCTCGCTTCCACAAGACCTCAAGAGTGTCAATTCCGGCTACCAGGCAGTTTGAATAGTGTCGGTCCTCCAAAATACAAGGTTGCATCAAATTAGCTAAAGCACCCAGTCGACTTGGGGAACACATAGTAATTCTTCTACGAATGCTGAGCTACCCTATGCGACCCAGATAGTGGCAGGCTATACTGTCTCTTGTATCATAACGTACTGAGAGAACACGTCTTAGAAGTTAGCAGTATAACCACACGGCTCACGGCCTCTCCTCATCGAACGAAAGAAAAACAGCCTAGCAAGAAGAAAAAGACAAGGAGAGCCCCCTCCTCCTCCCCAATTACGATAGCCGTCGAAGTCAAGGCTGTTTCTCCATGAAGTTCAGTCAGTCTCACCCGATACCTAGTAAAGACTTACAGTCTACTCAATAAACAAACATGTTTCCTGCCAGAATTCCCTGATACTTCCTGCCCAAAATACACTGACCAGCCATACACGTTGAAGGGTGCCTACACTGCACACGACAAGATCTTCTCCGGCGAGGCTACTGTTTCCCATGTCTCTTTCCCATGTCTCTCTGGTCACACAGTCCCTACAGCTGTCGAGTTTCCCCTGGTAGCAGACACGACGATCACGTAATAGTTGATATCTATCGCTTCTATAAGTAAAGCGGCGTCACCTGGTACATATAACCGAACCCATACGGGGGTCTGGAGCCGGGCATTCAGAGCAGGGACGAAACTCAGAAGAGGGGTTACCCTATGTACCGGTCTTGCGGCCCAGGACTAGAGAGGAGGGGTTGGGTGGGGGCGAGGGACGCCCGTCAGCCTCACGAGCAAGGGTTGGAGTGAAGGATGGTGGGCTGGACATCCAACACGGATTGGCGGCGCCGCGGCAGACGCCTTGCGAATGCAGGGTGACTGCGAAGGATGCTGTTGGAGCCAGGTTTCGATCGTCCGGCATTTGGGTCGCGAAGAGATGGGAGAAGGAGATTTTGGTTTTCTGATGGGATCGCTGGTCGGTTGCCAAAGGGCTCGTTATAGACGTTGGTTGAGGTGCTGCTCATTCGGCGAGATGTCTTTTGAGGCAACTTGGTCGGGTTGATGGAGAGAAACTGTGAGAGAGAGGGCTTGGTGTGACGGGGTGTGATGAACTGCAGAGTTTCAACAAGGGCCCGTCATGGGATAATTATTACATTGCCTCAAGGCTTTATCTCTATGACTTTTGAGAAGCGTGGTGATAAGAACTTCATAGTATCCGTACTACAAATTGGTATCTCAACCTCGACATGTAATGGATTCGGTCTGAGTACTTTCTGCAAAACGAATTTAACATCAATGTCAATGAGATTTGAGTTGAATCTAAGAAACTTTCATGCGTTTGTGCTCCATTCTCCTTACAGTCTACATCTCGCTTCGGGAACCCTTAGCGAATTACTCATGTGATCCAATGAAAAGCGTCAGCTCATAACTGCGCTGCAAGAGTTGAGAGAACGAACCTGTCTCTTTCTTGGCTTCTGAGTTGGTGGTGGCTGTGGCTGTGGCTATGAGTTGGTCAGCTGTTCATGCATCAAATTGAGGTGCAGCCAATGGAGATCGCTGTGATTGAAGAATCTGCCTGGTCGTTTGCCTAGATTCCCTGGGTTAAACGTCTGATATGACGTTAAATTACCTCACTCCCATGAACGATCCGGTAGAAAATCGAGATTGTAGAGACTCAGGTCCCTCAAAATTTCGACCATGGACCCCGTGACAGCCGTGGCACTCGCAGGCAACTTGCTACAATTTACCCAATTCGTTGTGGGCCTTTTCAATGACGCCCGAAAACTACATGCATCCGCCACAGGGACCAGTAGCAACAATAACCACATTCAAGATGTTTGCGGGATGCTCATCGACTTCGATGGGAATTTTCAGCAACCCCAGTCGGTTTCGTCGACGAACACCAGCAAAGCTATATCCAGACATGGAAAACAGCTTGCCGACTTCGCAAACACCTGCAAACAGGACTGCGAAGTCCTTCTTGGAAAGATGAACAAGCTGAAGGTCATTGGGGCAAAGGGCCCGAAGCACTGGAGCAGCTTTCGAGCTGCCCTTTCCGAAGTCTGGCAATCGAGCGAAATTGAGGAATACAGGACGCGAATTGCCGATCGCCAACGCGCGATGACTCTCTTGCTGTGCGCAGCATCAAAGTAAGTATACCCTGACCTACATCATCAAGTGACGTTTTGCTCAGCTTGCCCGTAGCGAAAGCATATCGGCTCTCCAAGATGATGTTCAACGTCTTGGTAGAGGGATCTGGACGCTTCACAGCGATTCTAGATTGGGCGCCATGATCGAAGAAATTAGGAAGCTCGGAAACTACATTCGGCAGCAGGACCCGAAGACAACTATACCGGTAGATATCGACACAATCTGCTCAAGCGTCTCAAAGATGTCGCTTGAAACCCGAGTCTTCGAGAGGGAAGCCCAAGTGCTAGCCAAGCTCAACTATATGGACCGGACAAGCAGATATGAGAGGATACCTGAAGCTCATTTTACAACCTTCAAGTGGAGCTTGAGGAAAACAGAGCAGACTGGGGTCATGTATAGCAAGCTGCGACATTGGCTCAGGGGTAAAGACACACTCTTTTGGGTCTCTGGAAAGCCCGGGTCAGGAAAGTCGACCTTTATGAAACACATCGCGGACAACAAAGATACGAGGGAGTGCCTGAAGACGTGGGCCGGAACGCGGAAGCTCCTTGTCGTCAGCCACTACTTTACGATATACGGCACGCCGATTCAACGGTCACTAGAAGGCCTTTTGCGATCTCTCCTATTCGGTGTATTAGTAAGGAAGCCGGCGCTCATTTCAAAGATTATACCAGACGGCTGGGGGACGTCCTCGGCAGCACCACGTCAATCTGAGTTCGAAAACTTTCTCAGACTCCTTGGGGTTCATCTCGATGAGCTATCATGCAAGATCATCTTCTTTATAGACGGCTTGGATGAATTCGAAGGCGACCACATCGATGTCTGCGAAACGCTCAAAGAACTATCTCGAAGCCCTTCTATAAAGATGTGCGTCTCGAGCAGACCGTGGAACGTCTTCGAAGACGCACTCGGGGAAAATTCGGACTCGAAGCTCTATATGCATGAGCTTACCTACAACGACATTCTTGACTATACGGCAAACCGTCTCCAAGCGCATCCTAGGTGGAAGGTTCTTCTGGAAGAGTTCAGTTTCGTTTCATCAATGTCCCTCATCGAGGAGGTTGCATTCAAGTCCAAGGGTGTCTTTCTCTGGGTCACGCTCGTAGTCCGGCTGCTACGAGAGGGCCTTACAAACGACGACAGCCTATCAGATCTACAGAGACGCTTGGAAACCTTTCCAGAGGATCTTCAAGAGTTTTTCAGGCATATAATAAAAAGTGTGGACCCATTCTATAACGAGAAGATGGCCGGGACGCTGTCGCTCGCGCTTCAAGCACAGGGACCTCTGCGCATAGAGATCTTCTCCCTCCATGATTTCGAGTACGGCAACGAGAACTACGCATTTAAAGACATCGCACATACAAAGCTCATGCCCACAGATCCCGAGGTTCTCGAGAAGATCTACCGCTCAGTTTCACGACGTATCAACGGGCGTTGTAAAGGCCTTTTGGAACGCAACGGCGACCGCATGGAGTTTCTTCACAGAACCGTCTACGACTTTCTCCGCACTGGCGAAATGGATGATTTCCTGAGAGAACACACGAAGAATAGCCATTGCTTTAGTCTATCGCTATTCAAGGCATTTGTGGCGTGGATAAAAACATCCACCTTTGCTAGCGAAACTTCTTCGCCGTCCAAAAATCCCACATCAGAAGTTGCGGGTTTTATTCCGAGGCTGAAACAAGGTCTTTCATACGCGCGTCTTGCTACAATGCAAGGCGAAAGCTCGGAAGCACTTACGGCAGCGCTTTTAGATAATCTGGAAAACAGCTTGCCTCGGATGCTTTCGCGGGGACAAGTCAAATTGACCGACCCCTCTTTTGCAACTACGATCTTTCGCCATTGTGTTTTAGAAGCTGGAATCCTGGGTTATATCCGAAGGAAGCTTTCAGTAAGCCACGAATACCTTATGGGCACCTACGCGAGCCGAGTCCAGTCTCCCCTTTATCCGATACTCGACCCGTGTCACACTTTGGCCAATACAGACCAGTGTTGGATCCTCAAGAAGCTGTTGGAGAGCGGCTATGACCCTAACAGCCATATTATGGGACTCAAGGCAAAATATCACTTTCAAAGTCCTTGGGAATTTTTGTTTTGTCGTCGTAGGGAAAAGGTTAACCCCACCGTTGAGCCGGATACGCAATGGTGGCAGAAGGATGATGACTTGCTCGCCTTGGCAGAAAATCGCATTCTACTTACGCTGCTCGAACACGGAGCGAATCCAGTCGCAACGGCCATCGAGTTCGACGAGAATGAAAGATTGGAGATGCCGATTTGGCTCAGGTTCTTTATCACGATACGCCGTGTGCACCTGCTCAAACAACCAACAGTGTACGAGGAGACTCTATTTGCAATGCTGAATGATTTAGAGACGCTCGAAAATATCACTGTGGCCAGAGAGTCGCACTCAAAAACCCTCGGAGGAATCATGAGGCAAGAGAAGGTCAACTTTTGGGACGTGTGCCAGTCTTGGGCCAAGTTCTTACTGCCTACAACGACAGGTTCTTGCGGCGATGAGTTCCTTACAAGAGTTTTTGCACGCGTCTTGGCTAAGATCCCCGCTGTACATGAGTCGTTTAGAAAGGCTGAAGCCTGGTGCAAGACGGTATTATCAGCCAATGCTGCTGACGAGCTTGAAGGTACCGTTAGCTCTATGCGATCAGGGACTCATCTTCGCAAATCAAAGAAGCGCGGCGCTGTGGAAGAGCAAGAAAATCCAAGGAACACCAAAAGGACTAGGAAGAGAAGGAGACAAATGTCATGAGATAGGGAAGGTCTAGGGTATCGCAAGAATGTCGAAGATAACGACGTTTTAAACAGCTAATGGCGTTTGAGGAACTAGAATTCCAGGACGAGTGCCCTCGGAACTACTGGTTGACTGTAGCCACCTATCTCGCAACTGACTCTCATTGCCCAAAACTGTCGGTCTCCAAGTTCAATTAACTTCCTGACGTATCGAGATCCCAATATTGGATATGCCTTCCTAATATCACTCACTGACTGACAGCCATGGTTCTTGGATAAATGAATAGAGATGGAAGGTCCATACCGCCGCACCTGCCTACACACATCTGCTCAGTATTCCACCAGGATCTGACGGTATTCCTATCTCGGCCAGAGCATACATAAAACACAGATTCGAAGGAAGGAGTGTGTCCCCGGTACAGCGCAAGCTTGCTGGGGCCACGTAGCCTGGTGGTTAAACGGGTGATGAATAAACTGGGACGCTGGTTTTTCGTAGGGATAGGGTTCGAACCAACGCCCGAGCTTTTTTTGTCAACTATCGAGTTTTCTGCTATTGCGTAAGGTATTTTGTTTTGATATAGTGGTGATGTTTTGTTGAGTTGGTATAGTAACGGAATGAGATGCGTTTCGCGTCCCCACATAGTAACCGTGATGTTTTGTTCATCAGCCAAACAAAGCCTCCTTCCTCATACGCCGCTATCTTGATGCAATATCACCGCGTTTTTGGCCTGCTTTGCGACACCAAACCTCACCTTCCCGTTGGATATCATCAGAAGGTTAACCCCCATCCCACCACCTCCCCTCCCCCTCGTACCCAGGAACCCCCGACAAAACCAAAAACAAAAGCCTAGATTTCCGGTATCATACCCATTCGTTCCTCGAATCCGAACCAAGCATCCCTTTCCACTTCCATTCCATCCTACCCGGTAGCTCCATTCCCATTCAGCCCTCCCGTAGCTGCCTCCGCTGACACCTCTCCATCTCCAGTCCACGTCAAATCGTCCATGTTCGCCAACACAGTCCACGGATCGATCCCCATACCCGGTGGAATGGAGTCAAAGTTCATATTCATAAAAGAAACCGGATCCGTGCTAGGGGCATACTGTAAACCCCTCGAGTCCCACGTCGTCGTCGATGTCGACGTTGAAGAGGTACCCGCAGCGCCACCGCCAAGCATCGCGTTCTGAATGCTCGTAATATCGATAATCTCATTGACGTTTCCGCCCCCACCGCCGCTACCGCCGGCACCCTGCGTGGTGCCTCCATCGTCCGGCGAAGACGTGCTACCCCGCACAAGACCAGGCGGCGTATTGTTACTGCTGCTCCCGCCCGTCGACTGCGACGGCGTGCTCTTGTTGAACACGGACGTTGGCGACGGCTGTCCCGCCGCGGGACTCCGGTGCGGGAGGTTGACCGGAAAAGTGGCCGTTCCTGCTGTCGGTCCAATAATGCCGCTCCCTCGCAGGAGACCCGACCCGAACCCGCCCACGCTATCGATACCAGAAGCCACAGGCACCGACGGGTAAGCAAAAGCGGCCCCTTGCGCCATGCCCGTCACGTCCGGGCTCTTTGTCGATGTTGTCGTCGTCGACTCCGATGTCCGCTTCCGTTTATTCGGCCCCATGTCCCGCGTATCAATAGACGCCGATGAAGACGGCGGGCCCATCCCGATAGGCTGGTCGAACCTGCCGAGCGTTGGCCCGAGCATCGGGTTGGTGCCGCCCATGGACACGGGGGTGTTGCAGCCGCCGTCGTGCTGCACCCTGATCGGGTAGTGCTCGTAGGCGGTACCCTTTGGGTTGCCGAGCGGCAGTCTGCCGGGCAAGGGCGGCTGGATCTCGGTGTGTTTTGAGATGGACGTCCGCGCGAGCAAGGGAATGTTGGACGACGTCCAGCCAAAGAGGTTCTTGTAGTGTGCCAGATTGGGCAGATCGATGACGCCCGACAGGCCGTTGCGCTCGATGTCCATGAAGATCTGCTGGAGAAAGGCCTGCGTAATAATGTGCCGCCGACCAATCGCCTCCATGGCGTTGATGATGAACTTTAGATTCTGCAGGTCCGCCGTCGAGAAGCCGGTGTCCATGTTGCATTTCGCCGAGTACACGTACACAGACGCGGCCGAGTACAGCGATAAGGCGACCATGGGACTTTTCTGCAGTGCATGAGCGTTTCCGAAGCCGGGTTCGAGGCGGACGTGGCTTTCACTTACATAGCCCGAGTTCATGTGGCTCGTCAACTTGATGATGCTCACCACCTCCTCGGCCGCCGTTCGCAGCCGCAGCTCCGAGGCGGCCTTGAGCGGCTCGGGGAGCTTGTTCCGCTCGATCCTGTCGATCGCGGCGTGGTGGAGGCAGATCACCGAGGCGTGGAGGTTGAGGTTCGTGTGGACGGACGTCGGGTCCCGCATGCTCTGCGGCAGGCGGAAGCGCTCCGGCAAGAACATGAAGGCGCTCGAGAGCATGTTGTCAATGTCCCTGTGCCGCTTCCAGAACTCGCCGTACTCGACGTCTGCGGGCCTGTCGTTGGGCCGCTCCCAGTGGACGTGCTTCAGGAGCATGTTGAAGATGTAGCACATTATGACGGCGCCTGCAAAGGTCGAGTACGAGGCGCCTTGGAACGCTTCTGGTAGGGTTGATGTTTCTTCCTCGCGGGCCGAGTTGAAGGCCTCTTCCGACGAGGGAAGATGTGTAGTGATCTATCTGGGTGTCAGTATTCAGAAAAGAAAAAGGGGCCAGACATGCAGGGAAACATACTTCGTTGGGGTCGATGAGAGTAGGCCAACCAGTCGCGATACTTGCGTGGCAGTCGATGCAGTAAGCGCCCCAAAACGCCCTCCGCCGCTCTTCAAGGTCAACCCACGACGTGGGCGGCGCAAGAGTCGGCGCCATCTCCTGCCCGTCGCCGTCGATGCGGTGAAGACCCATCATCTCCACGAGCCGTACGCACTTTGCGGAACTCATGGCCGCTCTCGTGAAGAAGAGAGACCTCGCCTCGTCCGTCGCGATGAGAGCCCACGCTTGCGCATGTTGGATAGTGAGGAAGTGCTCGCCGAATCCCTAACGTATTAGTGTGAGCGTCAGCGAATTCTATCCAGAGCATAGGGTGAGGGAGAGGGAGAACTCACCTTCATCTCATCCGCATCTGCGTATTGTCGAGCCCGTTTGTAGAAAATGTCGTGATACTGGCTATACTTCTCATGCCCGTTGGAGGCCATAGACCAGACCGCGTACTGCAGACACATGGGCGGACGTTTATGAGGCGCCGAGTAGAACGCCTGGAGATATCGTCCGGGGTGAATGATGGGGATGAAGTGCTGTTGCCTCTCAAAGAAGCTCTTGTTTCTGGTTCTCCAGTCAGATATGCTCGTGCCATTGCGAGAGCAGAAAAGAAAGACAGCGTCAGATGCCAACATACAGCTCCTCCATCATCTCAAAAGGGGGTAGAGCTTCTGAGAGCCCCAGCCCCATGAGTTCCCCCGAGGCATTGGCAAAGCTTGGTGCTTCAGGTTGAGAGGGCGGTGCCGTCTTATTCATGTTCACTCCCGTGTGAAAACCAGACGATCCGTCGTCAAAGGTACCATTCTGCATGGCCATGATCGTCTCAATGTCGACATGGAAGTCGTCCATGCCAATGTTGATCCGGCTATCCAGGTCACCCTCAGAAGGTAGTGCCCCATTGCCCTTGTTGGCAGCTTCTTTGAGAAGATCCTCCACTTGGGCTATACATATTGGTCAGTAACACGCTCCTTTTGGCGGAAAAGTATATGAGAGCGCATTACCTAGCCTCTCTTCGAGCTCCTTCACATTCTTCCGCTTGAACGCGGGCTTCCTCCTGGATTCCGGATACACACATTCTCCCTTGACTTTCAAGCAACGGCTACATGCCGGCTTCACTCGATCACACTTAAGCTTCCGAGACCGGCATGTCACACACGCCAACGGCTCTGAACCGTTGGCGGCGGAGCCCGGAAGGTCCGCTTGTACGCCGTCGTCAGTCTCCATGATGAGCCGCAAAAATTTCCTTCCGAGACCTCGGCAAGCGGGAGGTAGGGAGAGAGTGCCGGGAGTGGGCCTCGGCGGCGCCGGGGGGGTCCAAGACTCAGGACAACTCGGAAGATACGGGAGAGAGTCGGACTCGGGTGAGCTGCAGCGTGACGCAAGGGACAATGGGTACGTAATGCGGGCTTTGGAGAAGCACTATTGCGGCGAAAAAGGCCAAAGAGTAACTCACAGTTTCTCTGTGGCCCTTTGCTACACTATTAGGAACAGGTCTACACCAGGCAGATACGCGCTCGAGCGTGTGCCGGCCCCATTCTTTACTCAGTCGGACAGTTTCTGCACCGATGTCCGATGTCCGAGATGGACCTAGTGCCTCGTTCTAATTGGCTCTGGAGAGTTCTATGACGAGCCTTCCGTGATGACTCATCATGAGCCCCAGGAGTTGGACAATTCGACATTCCTACTGCCCAGAGACTGAGCGACCAATTGTGCACGCTGCTCTCCACGTGGGTTGCAATTCATGTAGGTATGCCAAGTCTGTTAAACGGCGCAAAATGGATACTAACGACGTCGAGATCTTCGGCGCCGTTGCCGGACACTGTCCGATATTCTTCCGCTCTTCAGCCGATAATTTGTGGAACTCCGCAAACTCCACGCGCGGATGGATTGGCCGACACTCGGCGACCTCTTCCGGTGATCTCATCCCATCCGGCTCCGGCTCGGCCGAGCCATCCGTCTAGCCGCTGCCAAGTGCCCTTTTTGGTGGCTCTTGGCCCGGTGATCTTCGCCAGGAACGCTGAGGCCGATCGCAGCACCGCAGCTGCGCAGGCCCACGGACAGCTCGGGGGATGTTCAACGATCGGCGGAGGCTCATCGCCGCCTCCCCTGGATGATCTGGATCCATCGCCAAAGGCCGAAGTTAATGGCGAGCCGACAGCCAAGCTTGTCAGTGTCCCCAGAGCTAAGGTATCAGGTGAAAGTAGCCGACGAAGAAACGTCTGCAATCTTGGTGATGACGAGTTTTTGAGTTTGCGTCGTCAAAAGACTAAAATTCTCCGTGGCGCCTCAGGAACGAATACCCAACGGGATGGACAGAGTTGCTGCACTCTGGGCCCTGGGTCAAGGTGTTCACCGACTGCCATCCCAATTGTGCTGTCATAGCATTCGGCCATAGGGCGAATACCTACCTACAGTGCCTGAGTGCCAGTCTCTCGTGGTCAGTCGCGGTCAGATGGACTGTTCTCACCTTGGTGGGACGATCATGAGTGATCACACCTACTCTCATTCGTCACAGTCGACGGTCTGAAACTCTGTTCTTCGAAGGATGACGGGAGATCCGGCTATGTACTTCATCGCTGAAGAGTGTCGAGGAACGGCAGCCACTGACGATGGCGCCCGCCAGAATCAAGGTGACGGCCAGGCCTTCCAACTACGCCTTGTACGGCATCCTCCTCGTAGTCGCGAGTGTGATTTGCAACGGAGTCGGGAAATTACAGTCGAAACCGCGCCGAGAGAATTGCCACTAGTCTCACATTGCTGCCGAACTAAAACACGGGCGAGCGTGGAGGATTGACGCGCGCCGAACGCCACGGTCCACTATTCTACCACGCTTCCAACACTGTCCCTCGGTTGAGTATGACACCAAAGGTAGCACCATTGACTGAATTTGAGAAGCCGAATATGCGAGCGAGACATTGAACCTTTTGACAGCTGCACACGGTATCCCAGTCTAGCGCCTCATGGCAAAAGACATCGTTAGGCTTGGCCCAAGGCTGATGATCGTCGTGGTCTGGATGTCAGCACAACGCCGGGTGAGAAATTGACACACGACGGCGTTTGGGGATAATCATTCAACGAACGCGGCCAAGAGATTTCGAGGTTGACTACGAACTGCCAAGAATGTCTCTTGCGCAGGCAGCGCTTGCCCGCCACCGCTTGCTGACTGAGATGCTTGGCTTTTTCCTCTGCGGGGTCGAAGCGACCACAGATCGCGAGTTCTTCGGAAGGTATTTTGTGTGGCACTAAGAGAATTGCTCAAGTGGCTTCTCGGGAGGCCAGTTTAGGAATATGTGGGCGAGAGACTTGACGGGAGATGAAGCCAACTAAGATTGACAAGCCGAACGGACCCGGGGATTTCGGTGTTTGGCGCAGGACTCTTGCTGATCAGGATCGACGGTGGCCCAGGCTTCATGATCTTCCCGCCGCGTGGTCAGCAGACAAGCCGTGATCTTAGTGATTCTCGAAGATTGGCGACATGGATTTGGAAACTTTGTAATGCCCTGTTATCAGGGCTGTGCGTAGGTAAATCCAGCCCCATCAAAGCAAAGTATGAGGATTGCCATGATGGTAGAATGAAAGGGGCTGGAGTGGCCTCTGTTAGGTGGTTTCACCAAAAATATGCTGTTTGGCTTGCTGCCAGTGGGTGGTGCCCTTCAGACTTGTCATCTGAGCGCCCTCGTGTTCTGTGCATCCTTCAAAGCAGCCGCGCATCGGAGGAAGGTCCCAGCCAGTTAGAGTCGAGGAGCCAAACGCACCTGACAAGGGAGCAGACAGGCAACGGGGATCGTCGGCCGTTGCGATTCAGGGCAGCCTTCGTAGAAACACTAACTTTGAGGATGAGAGACGAGCCGACGTGGGTTAGGCTGGGGAAGTACCTATGACCGCCCGGTGCGTTGCTAGTCGAGTGGAACCAAGCGGCTGACGGGTGTGAATCGGGATAGACGTCAGAGCAAACTATGTTTTGAGGAGTGAGGATGGGGGCATGGACAACTCACAACTTGTGAAGTCAGTGACACTCCTTGGCTTTCGGCAGGCCAGGCCATGCTAGACTGACCTTCTCAGCCTGCAGGGCACACTGGTCTTGAGGAGGCAAAGTGTGATAAGCGATGGGGGGCACACACGCAGAAACGATGTGTTGGAGACTCTGATTGAGTGAGCCAGGCTGCGTGATGTTGGGAAGAGGCCGCTCTAGGCTTACGCCTTGAGTCAAGGTCCGAGTGTGGCCCATTATCGTGACGAAACATAATGCAAGGTGGAGATGGTATGGCGACGCTCTAGTGTCGAGTTATGCAACGAGAAGCCTCCCAAGGCGTCCACTGGAGTCTGGACGATGCACTGGCAAGCTGGCAGATGGGGCGTCCAATGTCTCGCTGACTGGCACCTCAAGTCAGGTCGCATTGCCCTACGTTGGCGGCAGCCGCAGCCCCAGATCTGTACATACCTTGGGTCGCCATGCGTGACATGCTCGGATTGAGGAAGGAAGCACTCATTCTGAGGCCCTCTGTGATCCAGTGACGAGCTGGTTCTGTGAGAGCAGGTGCAAGGCGCCACGTATGTACCAGTTCTTCTGGGTTATGACCCAGCAAGCAAGTAGCAGTGCCCAGCATGTACCTAGAAAAGGCAGAAGAGGAGGATATCCTGCTCACGTACCCGCACTTGTACATAGGTTGGTACTATGCTACAGTGTTTATGTGGGATACCTGACTGCTGCTCCGTTTTTGCAGAGATTTACCTTGCTTGGCTTGAATCCTCGAGTGACTAAGGTAGGTAAGTGTCTCTGAACGGACCATTGGGGCATAGTCCGAGGAAGCACGGATGTCGTCGGGATGGAGGTGATGGCGGAATTGGTACGAGGGCATCGCTTGAATGATAGGTGGGATATCCGTCTCTCGCGACTAGGTATTCGTGGTTGATCTTGCGCAGTAGGCACAATATTGTGTCCATTCTCTACTACGTACCTGCGACAGGTAAACCTTGAATCGTAAAAGCCTTGTCAAGGAACAAAATCTCTTGGAGCATGGGTCGGAAAATCCGCAAACTACTACGCGGTAAGTACGCAGTAGTTGACAAGTTGAGTGGCATTCAGGCTCGATTGAACCAGGGCCAAACCAGGGCGGCTGCAAGATGGCGACCGGGGCCCGGCGATCATTCGCTGTGGATGATAGGCGGAAATCGGGGCGCCGGGATTATGGCAGCCATGACCGGATCATTCCCCACATGGCCCCCGTCCCTCCCTCCCCTACCCTTCCGCTTATAGCCCGGACCTGGAGGCTGGAGGATGGCAGCCATCCAGTCAGTGCTACATCGCGGATAATGATCGCGATACGGCACTGTTGGCAATGGCGATTGAGCGTCGTACATCACTGGAGTAGGGATTCAACGGTTCACGCCTTGCTTATACGACGACAAACCCTTGTTCAATTGATACCTACTAGGTATCTACCTGGTAGAAATAGGTAGGAAGAGCCCCGGTACTTCCTAACGGTCTCGGTATCTCGATATGTTCTTGGAATACGTATACTCCCATTCTCATTGGTCGACCCAACAGAAATGGAGCTGGATCAGAGCTTAGGTTGCCTGGGAGCTTATTTGAGAAAGGTACATCAATGACCCACCCGCTCAGGCCCAGATTGGGAGTACCTTTTCGGCAAGGCCTGGAAAGGAAGGAAGGAACATGAAGCTCAAGTGGATCCCACGGGACTTCACCAACGTCAGGCAGAGGTACGTATCGTCGCTACTGGTCCGGACCGCCTGACCAGGGTTTACCGTGTACGTACCCTGGGCTTAGTGAGCATGGTGAGGTACGAAGCACTTCGTACCTTAGAGTTAGGTTGTGGGGCACAAGCCATCTTCAATCTCCAGCGTGAACGTCAATCCTCCACTCACAATCTTGCGTTCCCGTCCATTCTTCATCACGCTTCCTACTACTCTGTATCGGTAGTGTACGGAGAATGCGCTTCTTGGAAATCGACTTGCCGCGAAAGAGAAGAAAGATACTTCACACACATCACAGAGTTACATCCCCAACGGCTCTCCTCCACCGGCGAGTCATCGCTGGCATCCCTCTCGTACCAGGCCTTTCCCGGCACGTCAAGGCACTTTTGGTCAATCATCAATGATGTGTGCGGCACCCGCCCCTCGGCCCTCTCTCTGCCCGCTGCACGACGGCTCTGACAGGAGACACCTCGTTCCCGAACCGGCTCAGTACTTTGCTACGTTTCCGAAAACAAAGGGGGCCGAAGAAATTCAAATCATCAAGTGGTACCTGCTCAAGGGATTCAATACCCTGACACGTCTTGGCCTACCCATACACAGGAGAAGCATTCCTGGAGAACCCCAGCAGAAGTATTCGAAACATGGGGGCCCGGCGACTGTGCTCGACTACTTGTCGCTGCAGAACTTCTCAAAGCGCCAACACGGCCGCGGCTATCCGCTAAGCATCCTCAAGAGGCGAACCAACTTCATGGAACACCTTGAATCCGTCAAAGGAATGCCCTGAGACAAAGACGCTCTCCTTCTACCCTTTTCAGATGCGCCTCATCGGCCTTGCCATGCGAGTCTGGCCGACCAACAGACAAGCCACAAACGCCAAAGAGCGAGCAGAGCACGAAACTAACGCTCCTGGCGCCATAGTCTATCGACCCTTGAATGCCCTCGAAACACTCCCGACATCCGCACCTTGGACCCTCTCGAATGAGTCTCGATACCTTCCGCCAATCCCAAACAGCCAATCGCCTTGACATGTATCGAACATGGCCCTCCACCAAGACAAGCATCGACTTCAAGTTCCATCTAATTATTGGCCTGCGAATTGTTCACCACGCCATGAAATTGCATGCTCACGACGCCCATCCACATAGCCCCAATCTGCTATCCTGGAAACGGAATTGCTTTCGTCAACAGGGCCCAGGCATCACGAACTGGCATCCCCCTTACGGATACATGATACATCCGGCCGCTATGGCTTGCCTTCATCCCACGTCCTCGTCAGCGCGCAAATCCCTGTGTTCGTTCTATGTGCCTGTATGATAATACTGTGGCACCGGGGTTGTCGTTGTCCAATGTAGATCCGCTGATCTCCGTGGACCCGCTACAGATTGTAGACCCGCCCGCCATTTCTCCATCGCGCCAACGTCGTTTGAACTTCTCCTCACCATACTCCCCGGTCTACCATGGCCATGCTCTCTAATGCTGCATCTCAAGTGGCGATACGGCATGTCACTATCCATCCAGGGCTTCCAGGTTCTTGCACATCTCCATAGGCATCACGCTTCGATTGCGCCGCGCAAGGTCGTTTGCATCTAACGCCTCCCAGCTCCGCCAGAAAGTGCCGAACAAATGAGAAAGTCACACACCCTTGGATGATGGATCTACGCCTTCCCATCCCAATATCTTTCGGCCTTCCTATTCTATGCTGCAGTAACAGGCCCTACGAACCTAGCGACGCTGACATGGCAAGCCCATGCCTTCTTTGGTCGCTCTCCCACCCTCACGCTCATTGATGGGCTGAGCTTGGCCTCGTTGCTGACATCCATGATAGCTTCCTGCCGCCTCAAGCTCTATTAACATTGTAACAGCAACAGCCGTACCAGAAGGCGGAGTTTGACTCGCCAACCTTCCACCCCAAGTCTCATGTCCCGTGCCTGAGGGTGGGCAACTGACATCCCTTCTGAGCGCCGGCCGTTCTTGGCCCGGCTTGAAGCAACCGGACGTGCGAGCCCTGTTCCCTGTCGACGGCGGCCTTTCCTGGGTCTCGTCTTGTGTTGTGCTGCAGTCCACACGTTGTGAATCTGCACACCCTCCCCCCCTTCTTCGTCCAGTGGCCGTTGCGACTGGCTGTCATCTCACACAAAGCTACGACGCTTGTGCATCGGACGCGAGGCCCAGTGACATCGCAATCACGACGAGTCTCGCTTCCCGCTCTGGTTCGCCCTCATTCAACCTCTAGACACCTACCGCACCTTGCATCGGGCCCAGTCACTTGTCAGGATTTTGCCGTAGCACACTGGCAGATGTTAATCTGACTTTCGGGCGGCAAGCCCAACTCCCTAAGAGCATACGCACGATATGAGAGGGGGGAAATGGTGCGGAAACGTGTTGAAGGCCCCCTTTGGCTGGGTTGGTTGTCGAGATTGAGCTTATGGTGTAGTGGTGGTTGTTGCCTCGTACCTATCAAACTTCACACCCCCTTGGAAGGACTGACTTGCTTCCCCCTTCACGTCAACGTCTCAGCAAGACCAAGGTTACTTCATCGGATGACCATGCTAATGGCTCCGACCAGTTCTATTACCCCCCCTATCCAGCTGTCTTGGGTTCTTCTGTCACGACCAGTCAAGGGGCCTTCGAGGAGGTATCCTGACACCGGCAGTCGATCACTTTCGGCCTTGACACGGGCAACGTGGACCAGCGATCCATGTCCGTGTCTACCTGCCATTATGGTTCCTTGCTTTTTTTTTTGTCCCGGGAATTAATGAAGGTTTGCGTCCTGCCAAGATGTGAGAGACAGAGACAGGAAAAGGAGGTTTATCTCAACCACCTGCGGAAAGAGTAATTGGCAAAAGAGCTCCCAATAATCCACGGGTCATGCATTTGCAGCTTGCATGTAGCAGCAGCAACCTAGTCTGAGGACAAGTCAGGAGAGCAGCAAGGTTAGACACCCGCATGGCATGAAGGGTGGGAAAGCAACTGCAAGGCATCATCAGTAACTAGTAGTAGCATGCCAATGTTTCGCCCCATTGTCATAGTACACTGGGGTTCTCGTGGAAGTACCTGACATTGAGGGTCCCCCTTCCGAGTGTGGGCAGAAAAGGAGAAAAAAAAAAGAAAAAAAGAAGAAAGCCTCAAAGACAATAGAAAGGGCGGGATAGAACCAGTGCTCCTGTACGTACGCAGGGACTCAGAGGGTAGGACGGACGTAGGTAAGGTGGTCAAGGAGATCTGCAGCTCCCATTATCGAGATCGGGAGGCGTTGGTCCATTGCCCGAATATGCAACCAGGCAACCCACTTTCGCAGAGCACCTGAAGAAGAGAAGTAGTAGTGTAGTGGTGGGTGTCCATCCCACCTGTGCGAAGAGGTTGCGCCGTTGGCGTGCGTCTGCGTGGCTACCACAGCTTCGCCGACGTTCCCATGAGCCAGGCCCGTAAGGTGAGGTAGCGCGAAAGGACGGCGAGGCCTGCCACCGAGGGAAAAAGAAGGGTCGCACTCAGAACTTGAACTGCCCAAGGTGTGCCTCTGTGACGGACGGCGCGGCGGGCCATGGGTAAACTAAGGTAGGGGACGTGTCTAGTTCCTGTGGAGTAAAGCATCCATTCCGGATATTATGTGTGTGAATGCGGGTGTGAGTGTGAGTGTGGTCCATGTATTTTGTAAGGCCGGCCGATGATGGAGGTTTCTAAACATTTAGCCCACTCCGCCTTTTCGGTGTTTGCTCCATTATGTCAATGTCATTGTGTGTTGGTGTGTTGTTGGGGTCCGGAGACTGCGGCTGGCCTCGTTTTTCTTGATGAACGATTACGCCACGGCATCCGTACTTAACTTTTGGTGTGGGTTGCTCAGGAACTGCAGGTACCTGACCTGACCTGACCTGACCCGATTTCACCTTTACGCTCCTGACTTCTCCTCTCTCGTATTATCATTTTCCGCGAGTCCCGTGATTCCCCTAGAGAAGGGGCGGCGGAAGGGGAGGGCCCCTCCCGAATCCGTCCGCGCCTGCAGCGCTCTTTGTGAAACCACCGAAAAAAGAAAGGAAAAGATTTATTGCCCTGGCCTGATTTGATACCCGCCCCATCTCGTACAAGCACGCAGGGAAATACCTACAGTTTCGTTACCCATTCAATGTTCGGAATCCAGCGAATCAGCTGTAACGCCCTGACATGAAGCGTTAGTCTTCTTTTCACTTTTGTATGTCGCAGTGTAAATAGAGAGAGAGAGCTGCAGAACCCGAGGAAAATGGCTGTGTGTGAGAGGTTTCACGTTTCACGACGCCACATACATTACTAAACGCCGTCGGCCATGTACAACATAAGGTAGACTTACATGTACTCACACACAAAAATCACCAAACACACGCATCACCTTACATTAGAGCATACAGTAGCTTGGTACTTCACCTCATCCTCCAGCCTCTGTGCCTCCTCAATCCTCGTCAGTCACTCGCTTTTTGCTGCCCACATGAACCACCTAATGTGATGCAATGTGCTTGCAGAAGTTTTGGACCTTCTCCACACAAACTAATCGCGTTGGAAAAAAAAAAAAAAAAAGAGGCGGACTTGTTGTCATAACGAAATGGCGGGATAATTCCAAAGAGGGGGGGCCAACGACGAACTACAATATCAGACTAGTCAACTTAGCAAGCAGACATTAATTAGCCCGGCACCCAAAAAGAGCTCTAAGAGGGACACTAGAGAAAGAGATGGTGGCCTTCATTGAAGAAACTCGGTCAGCTTAACAATTTATTTAACACCAAGAGGGCGGCCGCTCTCTAACAATCTCGGAGAATTGTTGTAGGGGTTTGTCGACACAAACGTGCGTTTACAGTGTCTGATCTTGTCTCCATCCCGCCTTTTTGCGTGACGACTATTCATTCAACCATCAGCCCCTCGAGGAAAAGGGCCCGCCCGCTGCAGAATCCGTGTGTAATGACGGAGCAACCGGAGTCTGAGGGGGGAAAAAGAGGCCAAGCGGCGGTGACGGCGGGAAAATCACACAGAGACTGAGATCGAGGGAAGAGGCGACTGCAGTAGTCCGCCCTTTCACCTTGACCGTAAGTCTCTGAAGAGAAACGTCCATCCGCCGCGCACAAAACAACGATATCATCGACGTCTTGGTCACAACGGCACCGGCAAAAAGGCGGGAAACGGGGTGGTTTGAAGGGGCAAAGCTGTAAACGGACGGACCTTTTCCGCGGAACTAAGAGCTCGCCGCCCAGGATCTCGGGTCGCCGCCATTTTCTCACACGCCTCCAAGTTCTCCATGTTCACACTTCAGCAACAACCGCACAGGTAAACGCAAATGCACAGCGATACGCAAAACGCATTACGCACACCCGCACATGCACATACACGCAGCCCTGGAGGGGGCTCTTACCAGCCCTCCCTCCTCCTTCAGCCCTCGACTAAGGCAAGGTGATGAGCACGGTGAAAGTGTCCGGGTTGGATGGATGTGGAGAGCAAAAACAAGACCCAACACCATGCGTGTGACGTTGTCGGAATACCACGGCACGTAGCCAGCCAGGCCTTTCGTAAGGCAAGGTAAGGAGGGGAGGGGTGGGAGTGGCTTTGGTTTGACTGTCATCCAGGAACTGGAAAACCACACAGACTTTTCATGTTTCTTGTTGCTTGATGTTCGAACACACACACACACACTCGCACATATGCACATACATGCACACACATACGTACGTACCTCTCAGCCCAGCCTCTTGATTTCTTATTTAGTTGCCTAGTTGTAGAAAGTTACAGTGTTAGTGGTGATTGTGTTTTGTTGTGTCCGATTGGATC